AGAACCGGTTGAAGGTTACTTTAAAATAGAAAAACTTCTATTCCTAAAATTAAAAAGGATATAGAGAATCGCTTAGAGTTGCTATAATGGTAGTTAAATTTGACCCCTAGGATCTATGTTTTGTTTAGACCCAATTCACAGAATCCCCCCCCTCTTGGGTGCTGACAGAACCTACTTGCGCCCATAAAAATCTACAATTTTGCCTTGCAAAACAAAAAGGTCTTGCTTCAAAATGGGAAATATTTTTTGGTCACATAACCATTATTGAACGGAGATTATTACTCTGCTGACACAATTGACCAAAGCCAAAACTATAAATATGTTTTTTATAGCTGTGGTGTGTGCTCCAAGTTTACTTTTACACAGCTCATCTCTCAGACCGGAATAAAATTGATGGGGAAGGCTACCGCCGTCAGCACACGCTAAAAAACATATGGACTAGTGCATATGATGGAAATCATTTCTACTACCAGACGTACCTACACCAATCCTATAACCAGTATGGGTATGGCCCCAATCCTATAACCAGATGGGTATGGCTGAGCAGGTATTAAGCTTGTCGTTTTATATCGGTGACTGAACCAGGCTAAGCAACCAATATGGTACTGAACCAGGCGAAACAAAATAATGTAAAAGCACAGCAATTAATCTGTAAGATATCAGCAGCTGAACAATGTCAATTTTGTACCCGTGCAATTAATGTAAGCATGATCATACTAGACACCTATCCTAACATCTCCGTGCAGTTCTATAGATACATCGAGGATCATATTTTCAAGATGATGAAATTCTTCTCTCCTTAAGCTTTTTTGATGGTGACGATGAAGCGATGATGGATCGCTGGCGCCCAACCTGAGGCTCACCTTCGTAGGATGATGTTCGGCGTTGCTCACTTGTATTAGCTGCTGTGGACCTCCAGAAATACCATAAGCAAAATAAGAGCCATCACACTGAACAATGTAACAGCTATCCATATGCCCTTGCTATTGCTAGTGTCATCTACGTGAACCACTTCACTGTCCGCAGAGATGTCCACAGAAGAAATGTTTGTCTTTGTACACTCTGCTTAGAAAAAGATTAAAAAAAAAGCTATTAGTAGGCACAAATTATTATTACACCCTCTATCCTGAATATAAGGCGCGATTAAACTTGGTAACGCCACCTATATATAATTTCTCTTATAATATATACTTTATAGGAACAAAAGTTTGATCATTACAAAACATTTCTAAATTCAAGGATCTAATGTAACTACTTTCGTAATACAAACTTTTGATATAATTAGGCTAATTATTAGTCAAAGATAACAAAGTTTTAATTTTGAAATACATGCATGCCTTCAGGGACCAATGGAGTAACTGAGATAGCAAGTATTTTGAGCTTCAAGGAACAACAAATAAGCATGTACCTGCTGAGCAGTCCTCCATATGAAATGTTGACCATTTGGAGATGATATGTCTATCCTTTCCATTGCACAGAATATATGTGGTACCTAGTTCAGGAGGTCCCCATCTTTCTTTCATATAATGGCAAAGGCAACAAGCCCCACTCTCATCACTTGCTGGAACTTGGTCAATTGCATGTAGTAAAGCATTGCAGCATGTCTGTGAGGACGAGGATGGCTTCCATACACCGTTGGGTTGCATACATGATAACACGGCGACGCTTGTTAAGTCATAACGACATGTGCCCTCTTCAGATCTTTGTGTATCTGTGGCTGAATAGGCTCCAGATGATGATAGAAGCATTGTGAGCAGCAACACCCACAACCAAGACTTTTGGACTACCAATCAAAACAAAGCAAAAACATGTAATATCAGTATGTTTGTATTTTTTTAGAACACAATGTACTTAGCAATTGGAAAGGGCATGTAACTCAATGACAAAACTGAATGGAAGAATCAAAAGTAAAATAAACTTACGACCTTTTTAGCCATGCAATTTATTGTACAGTTTGAAAAGAATGAGGACATTAACAATGTATTGAATATATCCAATGCAAAAGGTAGTCCAATAAGAAAGAGCGAAACGTACAGCATGTGACATTGGCATTAGGAGTATTTATCTCTGCATCAACAACTGAAACCTTTCATGCCTCATTGCCTGCATTGTAGTGATTACTACTCCAAATCATTACACTCTGATGAACAGTAGCAGAAAGATTTACTATAAGATTCCTAGGTTTTATGATCTCAAAATACTGGAAGTTAAAACAAATTTCATCTGAAACTGAAGTTGATGTCACAGCACAATAGCACATACACCTTTTCTTAAAACTTGGCAGCTGTTGTTCCATTCATTTAAACAAACAAAGCATGCTCAAACAAGTTTAAGCACCAAATAAGATAGGGCAAAACCTCCACACAATATGACTATGCATATTTCTCAAGATTTTCTTTGGCAAATGTGCATCACTAAAATAAAGGTAGATTAAGTAGCATTGGCAGATTAAAACTTCTTAGAATATAAAGATAGGAAAAAAAGACAATCCCAGACATACCAGTAAACAAATAGCAAGGAGAAGATCTCATAGATGAATATTGATCCAATTTACAAGACTTAGTATAGCACAGTTAGCCATAAATTGTTATACGTGTAGCATAAAGCAGTTGTAAATAAAACTGCACAGCAAGATAATTGGTAGGATCACGTGCACATATATATAACCAAAAAGCGAAGGGTTGGGGCGTCCGCTTGTCTTACAGCCATTTTAGAAGGGGTAGCCAGATACTCTTGGGAATCAACCGTGCAGTCCATTACCATGTATCCCTGAAAAAAAAATCGGACAGATTAGAATAATCATTCAGTCATGAATGGGCAATACGCTATTGTGGAAACCGAAGAACAGGAAACGGATCCGAAGGGATGAGCCCCAACCATACGATCGCACAGGAGAAATTTGTTGAAATTTTACAGAGGATCCTTTCAAATTTCTATCAAAGTGTGGGGATGGGATCCACAAAAGGCAAGGTGCAGACGGGAACCAACCAAAACTGCGACGAGCAAATTGGGGGTAGCGAAGCACACAGTGACACAGCACACACCCGGACACCCCACCCCACCCCACCCCAGCGACCCACAAAATGATGCAACTAGAGCGGCAGTGCTTTCCCGCCATGGATCGCCCAGCGCAGAAGTCCCGATCGAATCGGCGGAATCAAACGACGAAACCGCGGCGAGATTGGGATTGGAGTGAGATCGGCGAGGGGATTGTTTGCATACCATCAGTTCGCCTACTTGCGGGCGGAGCGGAAGGGAAGCCCCTCGTTGCTGCGGCGCGACGATCGCCGACCCGACGTTGCTTCTCCGGGAAGCAACCGCCTTCATCGCCGCGCCTCGGCGACGCCGCGGGTTTAAAGCAAGGGGAGAAGCAGGGTTTAGAAGAGAAATCCGGCGACACTGGTCACTAGCCCAGTTGCTACTGATAAGCCAAAGTGAAAGCAGAGTGAACGTGGGCCGAGTGAGGCCGAATTGGCCCGTCAACAAAAACAGTCGCCAGCCTATTAAACCGGACGATTGTTGAACTCAATTTTTTAAAACCCTTTCATTTTTTCTGCACGAAGTTTTTAGAATTTTGGTTTGAAAAAAGTTTCTAGAAAATTAGTTTACTAGCAATATACACGTGCGTTCCTACGGGTGAACACCTGTTTTTAATCTGACAAGCCTACAAACAATATTGTGTCTCTTGGCCTTAGGAGCATCTCCATAAGTTTCCAAAATCCAGTCTTAATCTTTTTTTTTTGTAAGATTGAAAAAAAAAGGTTTCTAACAGCTTTATATCTCAGCTCCCAATCTTTCCGCACCTGAGAAGCACCTGAGAAAACCGACCCAATCGTACGGAAATACAAGTGCGCATATCGATCTGCCAATATAGAGGTGTAGGACATGGTGAAAAATAAAGAGTAAGATACTTGAAAATATGTAAGAAAGAAAGAAAGTATAAAAATGGCTTCATAATTTTCAAGCTAAAACATTTTTTTCTAAAATTCAGATTTCATTATTTTAATTGCATAACTTTTTTTAGAAAAGATATTGATCAAACAACTTTTTTGTTAAAATGTATTTGTAGTCTGATTTTCCTCCTAAAGTACCAATGGATTCTGATTTACTTCCTCAATGGCTGACGTAGTGTCACGTAGGATGGTTGATGTGGTGCCATGTCGGACAGAACAGCCCCAAACTGTAAAAACAAATGGTTTTTAAAGTTGAGGAGGGCCAAAATCCAATTGCATATATGAGGGTGGAAAATCAAACTTTATGAATAGTTGAGGGGTTAAAAAGGATTGATTTATCCGTATAGGCAAGCAAATACTCTGTATATATGTTATGGGTACTCCCTTAGTTTTAAATTATAAATCACTTTAGTTTCACAAATGCATCGACTTATAATTGGAAGGGAGAGATCAGTCCTGATTATGAGTCCTATTTAAATATAAGCCGGCAATAAAATCCCCAGTCCCGACATGTACAAATGCATGACGATGCTGTGAGTAACAATAAAGCTAGGTTAGGTGGTGATACCGTTTCGCATGAAAGTGTGAGCATTGTCCAAATTAATTAAATTGCAGTTCATCGCCCTTACTACTAATTGAAGGGCACACTACAAGCTCTTAGAGTGTAGCTTCTTGAAGCCCAAACATATGCAGCCTGCCGTGCACACTGCACACACTACCTTACAAGCAAATACTACTGATTTTTCCCGAAATGGAATTTATACCGGTGCTTGTCATGGTGTTGCTTGCTCTAAGCTATATGGTCGGACCGTGCAACTGCACTGGAGTATGCTCGCCAGCGACGTACGGTAATCTCTCTTCATTCATCTGCACTAGATTATATATGCCAACCTTGTCTTCATGATCCTTCATGTTTCTGTTTTCTTTTCATTTCTTTTTTATTTCTGTGATTGTTCATTTTGTCCATGGATGTAGTACATTGCAAATAGAGTTTACTCCTATATTTTCTTCATGTTTTTAAATTTTGATTTTGATCCTACACCCCCAATGGATGCATGCTCAGAGTCTCGGCAGAGGAAAGATGGCGCCTTCCACTTCCCTGTGTTCCACAGGAAGCACCCGTGTGTTGACGAAGACCCATCGACGATCCACGCAGCAAGCGTATCAGACGCAGGCACCGTGATTGGGAACGACAAGATCCATCAAGGCAAGTACTTCATGGCCATCAGGCTGGGCACCCCTGCCGTCTTCAACCTCGTCACCATCGACACCGGCTCCACCCTCTCCTGGGTCAACTGCAAGAGGTGTCGGATACGGTGCCACGAGCAGGCGGCCGAAGCTGGCCCCAAGCTGGACCCTCACCGCTCCGCCACGTACCGTCACGTCGGCTGCTCCGACGAGGACTGCCTCGACATCCAGGCCGACAACGGCGTCCCCTACGGCTGCGTCGACGAGACGGACACCTGCCTCTACGGCCTGCGCTACGGGTCGCAGTACTCGGCGGGGAAGCTCGGGAGGGACAGGCTCGCCCTGGGCGACAACTACACCATCGTCGACGACTTCGTCTTCGGGTGCAGCGAGGACGACATGTTCTACGGCCTCGAGGCGGGCGTCATCGGCCTCGGCGACAAGCGTTACTCCTTCTTCAACCAGATGGCACGGCTGACGACCTACAACGCCTTCGCCTACTGCTTTCCCGGCGACCACCGCGCCGAGGGTTTCTCATCGTCGGGCCGTACCCGCAGAAGCTGGAGCTCGTCACGACATTGATCAGGGGGTACGGGCGTAGGCAGCACGTCTACTCGGTTCTGCTGCTGGGCATCGCCGTCGACGGGAAGCCTCTGGAGGTCGACGGGCGCCAGATCCTGGTGGTCGACTCTGGGACCGATGACACCTTCGTCTCGTCCTCAGTTTTTTATGCTCTCGCCGAGGCGATAGCGTCGGCGATGCAAGATAAGGCGTATTACCGTGAGTACGGTCGGAAGGTCTGCTTCAGGCCTGCCGGCGGCGAGCCGGTGAACTGGAGGAGCTTGCCGACGGTGCAGATGCAGCTCCTAAGGGCTACGCTGGAACTGCCGCCGGAGAATGTGTTCCATCAGCAGTCAACTGATCGCATATGTTTGGCGTTCCAGTCGAATGACGCTGCTGGCGTGCCGGATGTTCAGATTCTAGGGAACAAAGCCCTGAGATCTTTCAGGGTTGTCTATGATCTGCAGAAGATGACCTTTGGCTTCCAAGCCCGGGCGTGTTGAAAGGAGTTGCCTCGGCCATGTACTATTTAAAAGAGATACTTCATATACCGTTCTGAGGCCCTCCACGGTGTTAGTGTTAGCCTAAAATGAAGCTTGAGGTCTTGTTTGACACAGCTCAGCTTTACTAGTAAATAAAGTTTAAAATAGCCGGCGATAGCCGCTGGACAAAGTCACAGCTAAGATACGTCACTTTTAGCGCTAAGAAAAGTAAAACGCTAGTAGCCTGAGATAGCTGGAGATTGCGGCTAATTGGGACAAACTTAGCTACCGCTAAACTATGTCAGGCCAGGAAATTGACCAAGCGGCCCACTAAAACGTGTGCCACTGCCGGCCCATTGCTTTGCCCTTCCATCCAGCCCAGGAAAATAACGTAACCCTGGCATCTTCTCATATCTCTGACTCATCTCGTTAGCCCATTGCTTTGCCTATCCATGCACTACAGCTATACGAGATTTGTCATTCGATATATTGCTTCTTCTCTGTTTTTCCTTTTGTTTAAGAAAAACAGCTAAACGGCTTAGCTGAAGCTATCTCCTGCTATAGCTAGGTTTAGCTGCATTGGAAGTCAACAGCTAAGGAGCTTAGCTGGAGATTTAAAACTTTTGCTAGTAAAGCTATTTTTTTAGAAACAGCTTCATGAACAACTTTTGAGGTGGAGCTGAGTTATTTTAGAAAAATTGTTTAGCAAAACAGCTTCACCAACAACTTCATTATGGATGGTAGAGAGAAATGAGGGAGAGAGCTGGAATAAGCTACTTTTTCAGCTTCATCCCACTTCATTTCCTTACGAGAGAGAAAGAAAAAACAGTTTCACCCATGAAGCTATTTTAGCAATGGGTGTTTGGTAAGAAAACAGCTCACAACAGCTGTGAGCTGTAACGACAGGCCCTTAATTTTTTTTTATTAAGTGAAGCTTAAAATGAAAAGAACAAAAAGATTTGGGAATCACTCCACACGCTGCAATAGGTGTCCACACACTGCAATAGGTGGCACCGACGCCAGAAATTTGAGGAGCAAGGCAAGTACTTGCCTCAGTGCCAACTCTATATAAAAATACTACTCAAAATACTACTCATATGCCATCCAGTTATGCTGTGAGTGTCAAGCATAAAGATAAGAACAAACTGCATCGGAGTTATTGGGTCCCACTAGTAGTGCTATCACGCATTCATGCCGTAGTCTTGGAAGAGTGATGTCCTTTTTTAGCAAACAAATTAGGTGAGGATTATCCGCATGAAAAACTGTAGGGACCATATCACGCATGACATGTGGATCTCAACTAAATATGGGCAAGGAGAGAAATTACAGTAAACTCATGCAGTAGCAGCACAATACGCACAAGATCCGTGTAGAATGGTCCATACCCCATTTTTTTCCTTTTTTAACAGTGTAGGACCTATTATTTTTAAGGACTATTTCATTCACACGCAGCTCCTAAATTTGTCTAGAGTTCCCCTATAACTCCTAATACCTAGGATTTCCATTTCTGACACCCTAAACTTATATTATTGTACCAACACTACGGGAGGCATGGGCTTTGCCGAGTGTTTTACACTGCAAAGAGCCCTTTGCATTTGGCAAAGGCTTTGCCGAGTGTAGCACTCGCAAATTCATTTCGGCAAAATTTTTCTCGAAAAGAGTCTTTGTCGAGTGCTTTTTATCGGGCACTCGACAAAATATAAAAAAATTACCGAGTGCTTGGGTGGCACTCGCAAAATTTTTTTTTAAATTACTTTGTTGAGTGCCCCACCCTCAGGCACTCGGCAAAGTTTTTTTTTTAAAGTACTTTGCCGAGTGCCCTACCCGAGCACTCGGCAAAGTTTTTTTATTTTTTAAAATTACTTTGCCGAGTGCTCTTGCCTCTCGACAAAGTTTTTTTAATTTTTTTTAATAATTTCTTTGCCGAGTGCCCCTGTTTAGGCACTCGGCAAAGAATTTCTGAATTTTTTAAAAAAAAATACTTTGCCGAGTGCCGCGGCGAGCCACTCGGCAAAGAAATTTTATATTTTTTGTAAAAATCTTTGTCGAGTGCCTTGCCCATGGCACTAGGCAAAGACCCCGAGAATTGCAATTTTTTTACATTCCATTGTAATGAGACAATATATATATACATCAATCATCACATCTATATCAACAACATGCATTATATATCACAAGCACACGCATATTTAATAAATTCATCGAAAATCCATCACAAAAAAGCACCAAAGTTCAACATCACAAGTTTATTATTACAAGTTCAACATCACTTTGTCACGCCGAGCCACTTTGTGAAGTTCTCAAACTCGGTGTAGTCACCGTCTCGAGATCATGGTCTTGTACCATGCCTTGCCCGCAGCCTTGACCTTGGCAGCCTCCTCCTACAACAAACCAACATGTAATGTTAGGTACATGGTTATCAACAAAAACAAATGATGTTTCGATATATACAGAGTGAATCAACAGCGATAGGATCAGGTCATGTCTTTTCAAGTGCCGATCAAACAAATAATCTGATTCGAACAAGACCGACCATACACAAATATAGGACTATGCAATCAAACAAATTTGGCGAGATGGCACTAGGATGTGGGGTATTTCAGAAATTTGGGGAATAATTTAAACCATCATATAGCATTCATTGTAATAACCAACATTCCAAATGATTAAAATATTAATCTCAATCACATAGTAGTGATGTCCAAATGTCACTAGTTCAAAGCAAAAACTCAGCATCTATTCTTTGACTACATGTACCACAAAATTTTCTAGCAAGCAAGATACCTAGTTTTAGGTTTGAGACCACCTATTAAAGTTCTTGGCCTTTGCATTGGATGGTACAAACACACGGGGTAGGGGAGAATGAACAAGCCTCTTTTGTTAACAGGAGGGTGCTGTGCCATTTACATCGCCTTACAAGAATTTTTGGCAGATGCCAATCAAAATCTTATTTGCGGTGTGTGTCAACTGTAACAGTTTGAAGAAAACAAAGAGGCATCGTCCATGCAAGTGTGTCAAACGTTATTAGGAGCAGTGGCTTTGCAATTCTTTGCTTCCTTAAAGATGATCTTTTAATGTCTGGATTGAGTTGTATGTTGAAACTGGTTTCTCATTATGTCAAATGTTTGTAATAATTGGTCTAATTCCTTCATTTGCAAGGGATAAAACTGGGCGTTATCCATTATCTAAAGAAACTATTTCTTAGTTAGTATACAGGAGTGAAATGATTGTCCGGCTAACATCTCGAGTGACTCATTTTCACCTGTAGTCTAGTCCCACGCTATTGATTACTATATGACAATGGCGATATATTAAAGTAATTCTATTGGTGATTCACAGCTAGTGATTTGAAACATAATTAAGCTTACAACAATGGATAACTACTTGAAAGAGCCCATCCTTATTGTTCGGCCCAATGTTAGATTCGTAATATATATGTTTGTTGTTTCTATATCAGAGACATTGATGTCTCCTGCCCCATGATCCAGTTATCCCTCAAGAAAATTGAGTGGCCATCTTTTTCAAAATTTTGGTGGCCGAATTACTTTGTAGGTTAATGTTCATGGAGGACAAGTGAAATATCCTAGACAAGATGGAGGTGCACACACATTTTACATTCAATTGTAAATTTACTGGCAGATCACCTATATCTAACATGAATTGAGATCGAGGTATGAAAGGATTGTCCCATTTCATTTTAATGTCCCTCTATTGACAATGAAACTATTAGGTCAGATACCAGGCACATTGAAGTATATTCTGTGTCAGTAAGCTGTAAGATTTACATTGATGCATGTATTCTCTATGCCAAAATATATATAACGTTTCCATCTGCCCTGGCTAGCAATGGTTGATTTAGCATTGTGGAGACATTATTCTACAATATTAGTCAATCTGTTTCCTAGTATATATAATAAGCAGTTAAATATTTAAGTCAATTACCATTTCCATCCTTGTCTTTCTTTTACTACCAACAATTAGCAAGGGTAACTGTACTTTCAGGTAATATTAAATACAATTTAAAAGGGCAACGAACTGACTGCAACACCCATATCCGTTGAACACAAATACAATGGGTTGAATGAGATTTCTTTGGTTGAGAAATAGATAGTAATCAGTACTAAACCAATTAAATGAGATTGCATTACATGTTTTGAAAACTCAGAGTAGCCATGGAGTTTTCATCAGTGCAACGTTTTCATCAGTTAAACACAACGTCTTCATTTATCAGTTCAACACAACTACAACAGGCTGATACTGAGTACTGAAGGTGACATGAAATTTGACGAAATATTTCATGAACTGGAACGAAGAGATTACTTTTCATTTTCTTTTATTTTGTTTAGCAGATAATGAAGTTCGTCTGTAAGAAGGCAAACCGTTCTGATTTAGAGATTTTAGGATTTTAATGAGCCACACCGTTGAGTATGTTCCAGCTCGTCTCCGTGTTTGATGTTTTACAATTTCATTTAAGGTTAGGTAGGTTCAATATAATATGTATTGTCTGTCAAATGAAAGGCTACTATAGTAGTTACTTTAAAAGAACTGAACTTATACTCTATGTACAATTGTACATTTGCATCTATGGCTGAGGTAACTAATGTTAACTAGTTCTTATGCCTCAGAATACACCTACTGGAATCAGGTATGATCAAATACTAAGTTTGTCCCATGCCTGCCGTACTGGAACTAGCTAGTATGCAAAAACTCATAAGCAAATTAACAGTTAGTTTTAATGGTTAAACAAGTACGTACCACACCGTTACTCTGGGAGTCTATCAAGTCGAGTTGGTCCGTCCAAGTCTTCTGGGCTGCGGCAAACTACCCCGCCGCCATCTGTTGCTCCACCATCAACCCCATTCGAGGATAAATGAAGTGCCGAGTAACGGTGCCCAAGACGGGCGGTAGGGCGATGCCGGGGGTGTCGGTCACCATGTCGCCCTCCAGGGCCTTCACGGAGACGAGGGGGCGGCTGAAGGCGACCATGGCGACGACGGCGGCTAGGGCTGGGGGCGGGGCGC